TACAATCAAAGGGAGAAAGAATCCCAAAGCCAGCAGCCTACTATGAAGAGAGGAGGCCCTTATAGGAGCTGGACTGCAGTCTAGTTCCTTTCCAGGGCTGAAGGGCACCCCAGAAACAGGCCAGCGTGGGAACGGAGCAGTAACCTCCCCGTGGCCACGTCTAACTGGGCATCAAGTTCCCTTCGCAGCGCACAGCCGTGAAGGACACAGGCCTGGTGAAGGACGTCAGGCTCTGCCAGACTGCACCCCTGGGACCTGTAATAACTTGTCACTTCTCATAGAGCAGCAGGGAGGAGACACAGCAGGGAAACCGCTTGGCCTGGCCTTGCACCTGTCAGAGCTGGGCTCCAGACCCCCCCCCCCCCCCCCCCAGCAGTTTCCCTAGAGAGAGCAGCAGCGGGGGGCTCCGCTCCTAGCAACTTTACGACCTGAGCCCCATGAAGGGGGAAGAAAGTTTCAGAACCTGAGGATGAGAATCTTGGAGGCAAGTTAGTGCCTAAGGGCCTTTGAATAAGTGCCCTTTGAGTGGTTGGGCACGCAACATCAGTGGTGGCTCATCTACCCGCACCGACCCACCTTACCCAGCTTCTGGCCCCTTCAGGCCCAAGCAGCCTCCAGAAAACAGATGGAGTAGTGAAGTCGCTGTACTCCCAGCACTGACCCCATCTCAGCCCCTACCCCCACCCCGCAGCAGGGATGGGCACTCCTCTGAGTGAGGTGAGGGACAGATGCCATTTTCAAGCAATCACATGCTTTACCAGCCAGAATCTCCGCCCCCCCACCCCCACAAAGCTGCATCCAAGCCTCTCCTTTGTTCCTGTTGGGGTACTTGTGTCGCTGGCAGCATATTCCAAGAAACCAAGGTATGCCAGATCCCAGGAGGGCTCGTGGCATGAAGCAGACAGACCATGCATCGTTCCCCACCAAGGGTCAGAGGACATTTCACCCCTCTGGCCCACCTACCATCCCTGCAGTGTGCTTCCCAACTTCTCTCTTCTTTGGAGAAGTACCGACACCAGAGGCTCAAGGATCAGGGTTTCCTGTTCCCAGGGTGGCAGCAGGTGGAGCCCAGCCCACCAGTCTGACCGGGGGAGCTCTCCTGACTCACCTATCAGAGGCTGAGAGGCACTGAGAGGAAGGAACCCTCATACTACTCCCATACTGTTTCCCACTTGGACATTTTCAAGCATTTTCCATTTCAACCTGAGTAACGTTTTCCTCCGTTCCGCCTGGTCTGGACAAACATCATCAATGCTCCCAGCTGTAGGCACCCAGTGGTCCTGACTGCTTCCAACACAAAGAAGCAAAGACAAAACCATGCCTTCCCGAATAAATGAGTCCAATATCCCCCCGTCTGGAAATTCAGGAGGACTCCCCATATGAAGGAGGCAAGGCCCTCTGACTTGGTTTCCCCATGACCCTGGGGCTGTCTCATACATCCCTGACAGAGCTGCCCTGAAGACTGGACTGGTGAGACTGTGTGAAGCCCCCATCCACACTGGGGGGCTGACGACAAACCCACATCCTTCCCTTTTAGGACCCTTAGCATGGGCTGGGATGTGTAAACAGGGCTTTCTGGAAGGCCTAGAAGTCACAAGGGGCTCATAATCCCAGATAATCCGGCCCACATGGCATTGCCTCTGCAGTTTCTACTGTCCCCAGTGGCAGTGTTTCCCAGGTTCCCAGTTGATAAACACTACTCTCCTGGAGATTTGGATTTATTGGCCCAGTCTGGAATGGAACTCAGGACATTAACTTTTTCAACAATTAATACTGGTTCTTATCATTGTGGACCCTCATAGATTCCACCAGACTACAGTCTGTCTTCTGCCCACCTAAGGCCACCTTCTGAGGTTCACTTCCTATCTTTAGACCCATTCCTTTCCTATGACCTGCTCTGGAATGGTGCCTCCCTTCTGGGGCCACCCACCACCCTCCTGGCCTCATTCCTCTGCAAAGCAACCATATAAGAAAACAATAGTCACATCACACCAGGATGTCCCAGAGGCCTCGCCCCATCCCACTCTCAGATGGAACCTCTCAGGTGGAATCTCTCAGGTGAAATTGGATGACCACATACTTGCTTCCCCCTCAGCTCTCATCCTCTGAAAACACACTTCCCTTGGCCTGTTGCATTCCTCCTTAGCCTGTAAACTGAAGAAATAGCCAAGGGACTTTGCCTAGTCCAACATTTGCTTTCGTTTCAGTAGAATTTGTTGACTGGGTGAGTCCACTTCACTGACCCCAGGAGAGGACAAAGAATTCACAAGAACAGGTTCTCATGGCATGGAGGCAGTGTAGCAACACAGTGTACCTGGTGTGGGTTGTCCCACGTGAACTTGCAGAGCTCATCATGGTTTTCCACAAGGTGGCTCTCACACATCCCAACACCATGGGAGGGAACTTGGGAATAAGATTTTCTATGCTACTGATGATAACATTTGGGTCTTCAAAAACAGGTAACACACGTGGGAAGATGTTCAATATGCTTAGTCACTAGAGAAATGGAAATGAAAACCAGAATGAGACACCATTTCATGCTAACTAGGGTTGCTATAGTCATAATGATGATGATGATGATGGTGATGGTGATGGTGGTGATGGTGATGGTGATGATGGTGATGATGGTGATGATGATGGTGATGGTGATGATGGTGATGATGATGGTGATGATGGTGATGGTGAGGTGATGGTGGTGATGGTGGTAATGATGGTGATGATGATGGTGAGGTGATGGTGGTGATGGTGGTAATGATGGTGATGATGGTGATGGTGATGATGATGATGGTGGTGATGATGACAGAAGATAACAAGTGTGGGTGGGGATGTGGAAGAATTGGAACTCTCATACACTGCCGGTGGGAATGGAAAAAGGTACAGCCTCTGTGGGCAACAGTTTTCATTTCCTGAAAAACTTAAGGTTAGCATATGGTCCAGCAATTCCATTCCCAAGGTGTACAACCAAAAGAATTAGAATAATCGAAGCTTATACATGAATGTCCATAGCTGCACTCATCAGAACAGTCAAAAGGAGGGCACAACAGATATCCACCAATGGATGAATGAATAAACTATGGAATATCCATACAAGGCAGTATCACTCCACTCTAAAAAGCGATGGAGTACTGATATGTATTATGGTGTGGATGAATCTCAAAAACATGAAATACCCAGGAAAGGTAAATCTACAGAGACAGAGCAGATTGGTGGTTGCCAAGGGGTAGGGGGAGGGAGGCAATGGGGAGTGACTGTTTAATGGGTTTTCTTTGGGGGTAATGAAAATATTTTGGAATCAGATAGAGGAGGTGGTTACACAATGCTGTGAATATACCAAAGCCACTGAATTGTTCACCTTAAAATGGTTCATTTTATGTTATATTAATTTTGCCTCAATTAAAAAGAAACGTTAACACATACGAAGGAAAAGTCAAGTAACAGTCCACCAGGTAGGTTTTCGGAAGCTGTCACCCTTTGCCAGAACCTTGATAGGCATAGGATGCATCTTCCATGACTAAATAATTTGCCCCAGCTCTGCCACCTGTGACTTCAGGCCGGCAATAAACAGCTTCACCCTGGGGGACCTCTCACAATGCTCTGGCTTCTCCAGGCTCCACCAGGCTTCACCTTGTTGAACACCACGGAGACTGACAGAGGCCGAATAGACTTCCCTAACCAGAAGGTCAGACTTACGCCTAAGAATTTCTAACTGCATTTTAATTTTATTAGCATATAAAGATAAAATAGTTACAAACCCCAGCTCTGAGCCATTGAACCAAGCCAAGCCATCCTTGGTTATTGAGGAGAACTCTTAAGTGTTTAAAACTAAGTCAGTCTACCTAGAAATTTCAGCTTCATCATTTTAAACAAATAATAGCAGTAGGAAGTGGTAATAATCTACCCTTTGTTCTAATTTTAAAATGTGAATAATTAACCTGCCAGGAGAAAAAAACAGCAGAAGTTTAAGAGCAGTTCAATCCAATAAATGTCCAATTCAGAGACAGATGAGTGCTGCTAGTACAGATGACCTCCCAGGATTTATTGTGGTGGCAATTCCCGTGAAATCAGTCATTACTCCAGTCAAACTACTGGAGCATCAGCGCCCTTAAATTCTGCTTTTAGGCACTTAACTGCTGGGTAATACAGATTTTTATAGGGATTATGTCTTGTGTAAAGGCATAAAAAGCTCACATTTTTGCTACACCAAATTGTGTTATTAACACTGCTGTTACTATAGATTTGCATTTTCCCAAAGGCAGTTTCTCCCAGGTAGAACTGCTAATACTTAGTGATTGTTTCTGGGTTATACATAGAATTAAATACTTACCATGCTGCCCAACTCTACAGAAGCTTTGGTTCATCGGTAGCCTTATGAGAATAAAAGTCGGCGGTCCACGCAGTCGGAGCAGTACGTTATAACAGAAAGGCACCTCCTTCCCGGACCTCTCCAGGGGAATCGAGTTATCCCAGGAGCCCAAGAAACCTCTTTTCTGAAAGTATCACTTCACCATAAGGAGACTTCCGGGTATCAGTGGGCTGAAACTGCCCCAGTGTGAAAGGCCTAATTACCTTCTTGCAAAATGAAAGAAAGAAAGGAGAATAGGAGAGGAAGAAGGAAGAGAGGGAAGAAAAGAAGAGGAAGAAGAAATAACCAAGAAATGAAGAGAGTAATCTAGTTTCTCTGCCCCAGAAGCAGTTAACATTGGGAAACAGAATGGACCAGGCTAACCATGAACAACTGCGTCTGGTCAGCTTTTGAACAGCACAGGGTAACGACTTCCGGAACCCAGCGGCATTGGCGCAAAACCCAGCCTCACTATTTAGAAGCAGTGTGACCTGCAATAAGTTAATTAGCCTCTCAGGGCCGTTGTTTCTTCATCCACCACTTTGGATGTAGCAGGTCTCAGAGAACCAGCTTACGGGCGGGCTCGAGGCGCACGGCGTCTCCCGTGGTCCAGAGCACGCTTGATCCAGAACATGCAGGGAAATCAGAACAGAGCCTATGCCATTGTATTTTTTTTTTATTAAAAAACAAATTAAATAAAATAGTGATCAATTTTATAGAAAATGGAACTGGAGTCCACAGTTCACGGTGGGGAAGGCTCAGAAGATGGAGACGAGGTTGTGGTTGCCATTTCTTTTTCTTCGTATCTGGGAGGCAGTTCAGAGGAGAGATGCGGAGTGATTGAGATCTCAGAGGACAAAGCAGTCCCAGAAATGGTGTATACAGATTCACGATCTCTCTCGGAGGCCGCGCCTTGGCCCTCAGGAGTTGGCGTCCTACTTAAAAGGAGGGAGGACAGAAAGGGAAGAGAGGGGAACGGTAACACATCGTGAGGATGATGTTTGATTATAGGTGTTTGGAGCGTTTGCAAGGGTCGAAGGAATAATTTCTGCCCTATTCTATTTCTTACAGATGCGCCTTGATTCCTTGCCCCTTTCCTTCCTTAGAGCTGCTGTCACATTAAGAGAGTCTCACCCCGTGGCTGTTTCCCTTGTCACTGAGAAGACACGAGGTAGGAACGTGTCACTGCCGTCCTAAAAGAATATTCACATGCAGTTACTGTTCTATACTGTTCCGTCTTCAGAGACAGCTAACGTAAGGTAGACAAACTTATACGAAGAGAAAATTAAATCAGTAAGCCAAAAACGTGAAGGGAGGCAAGAAAGCATACTGGGTACTGGGGTGCATTCTAGCAACGGGCAGACATGCCTCTGAACTGCCCCTCCACTGCTTTCCAGCTGTGCGATCTTGAGCAAGTAATTTCACCTCACTAAGCTTTGGTCTCCTCATCTGTAAAAGGGGGACGACAAGAGCGCTGTCTCGGCTACGCAGGAGACTGACCTGAGAGAATGCAAGTAAGGCCAGGCCGTGGCACACAGAAATTGCGGTGGTAGCAAGTACGAGTTTGTTTTAAGTTACAAGACATTTGTTTAGGGCTTGGGGAAGTTCATCATTGGAGAAAAGAATACAAAAATTCACTCACAGAATTATACAAATGTCCAGAACCTAACCTCCCTTTCATCCATGCAGGACAATTCCTATACCCGTCTCTGTCTGGATCTCTGGCCCACCACCCTGTCTGAAGCTCAAGAACGTGTGCCTTAAAACATGAATGACCAGGTGAGGCTGTGTCCATCCCCAGCATTCTCTCTGGGTCTCCTGGGTCCTACTTCTCAGTGGCTACAGAAGCCAGCCCCCCAACTGGTCTGGCCACCACCAGCCTTCCCACATTGTGAGCTGCACTGGTTCCATGAAGGTCTGAAACCTTCAACTGCATCCCTCTGCCTGAAGGGATGGCGTTTAATCTGACCCCAGGTATGCCTCCTAATTTGTGGCATATGGGGAGCATGGGGGATGGGGGTGTGAATCTTGGATTTCCCTTCATTCAATCTGAGAAGGCTCTGAGGCCCAGGGGACAACTTCAGATTGAGAGGAGAAGTCCAGCTTGGTTGGGTCAGGGTGCAGGCTATCAGTCAGTCACCCAACTTCCTCCGTGAGATGCTGAAACCCTCTGTACCTGCTGGAGGTCCCCTAGGACCCCCGTGTCTCCCCTTCATCTAAAGTGGCAAAGCCTAACATAGGAGGGGGCCTCCCAAGCCTTGCTCTGGTGCTCAGTCTGGCTAATAAAGTGTTAAACATTTGGAGGATCACCCCTGCCAGGGGTACATGAAGATGCCTGAAGGAGGCTTCGTATTTAACCCGGCATAACCACTTTTATAATTTTTAATGTATGTGCCGCACAACGTATCCCCAAAGGTACTCTTAATATTAAGGCAATAATTCTGATATGATGTCAGCAAAAAAGATACACTGTAATGTTTATTTCTGTACTATGGTACAAAGCTAATTTGGCCTGAGTTCAGGCACAGGCCTGAGAAAGTTAAACATGCCTACTCTTGAAGTTCAAATGCAAAGTCTTACCCATAGGTAAAAATACTGTAATATGAAGGTGGATTTTCATTTGGAAGCAAACCATTAGCCCCAGGACTCGGAGTCACTGTAGAAGCTGAAGACTCAGGAAAGTAAGGTGGTGGTGGGGGTGGGAATATTATCACGGCATCACCTAAGGAAACACAATTATTTCATTGAAGACAAGCACATTAGCAAGAATAAAATAAATTAATTATGTATTTGGCCTGTGAATATAAAAGGTCAAAACCCCTATGCTAACTCCAGAATTTAAAAGTGGGCCTATCAAATTCACCGAGAGGGAGCGTGGAGGTTGCCAGGGACTGGGCCGAGGCTTGGGGGATTCGAGTGACTGTTTAATGGGGGCAGTTTCTCTTTGATGATGAAAAACTTCCAGAACTTGTTAGTGGTGATGGCTGAACACTGCGAATGTACTTAATGTCACTGTCCACTAAAAAATGCTTAAAATGGTAAACTTTATGTTACATATATTGTACCACAACTTTTTCAAACAGTGGGCCAGTATTTTCCTAGTAAGTCTGAGCTCAAGCATTTCTAAGTATTTGCTTCCTTGGGATGCCTCCTGCTGCAAAGCCTTTCTCATTCTCAACTTGAAATTTTAAACTGTCAACCCTTAGCAGTTGGATAAAGTGCCTGTTCCTTACGTGCAGTTTTAGCCTCTGAACAGAGGACAACAGGAGAGGCCACAGCCCGTCTTCACAGCTTTTATCTGCCAACATTTCAGCCACGCTTTACAAAAGAAAGTCACGCTCAAAGCTAAGCTTGGTTTTTGTTTTGTTTTTTCCTGTTTGCATTTCTGTAGCTGCTGTTCACTCCAGAATACATCCCATATTTTGGGGAGGAGAAACAGACACCAGACGCAAGCCCTCATTGGTACTCCAATTCCAATACAAAATGCAGCACGTGAGTTGCCCAGAACATTCTAGACACGTGGCAGCACCACTCCATAGCGGTTTGAGGGCAGCCTCTGATAAAGCTGGCAGCACCAAAGGACAGCGCAGGAGGAACGAAGGGGAGAGGGCTTCAGTTGGCGGCAGGGAGGCAAGCGGTCTGCATGGCAGCGGATCTGACGCTTGGCTGGGTAAGCACGGGGTTCTTGAGCGCTACCAGCGTGCCGTGCCGTTTGCCAATTGCCGGCCCAGCGCGGCCCTGAGCGAGGGATCTGACCCCCACCGGCCTCAGCTGCTGCATCGGTGAACTGCAGGCCATCCATAACTGTTGCTGCCTCAGCGAACAGGCAGGAGGGCCGGGCTGGTGTGTGGTGGGGACAGCAGTGCCGGGCACGGAGCAAACGCTCACAGCTGGAACACACCCGCAGAGGTGCTTTCTGCACCGGCCAGCAGCCCCCAGCCAGTAGCCCTGATTTGCATGTGTGACCATACCCTCCCAGCAGGCAGCCCCTCTCCTTGCTGCCACGGTGGCTCCCCCAGAGGGGAGGGAGCCCTTCCGAAAATGTGTTAACTCTTTCTCTCCTCCTACAAGCATGTGACCACGAGGGCTTAAGACAGCGCTCACCTAAACTTGATAGCAGGTAACGGTTATCTCGGGCTTCTCATTTAATTTTTTTCACAGGTCTTGGTAGGTTAGAGGAAGCAAGGTCGATTGTTTAATTACACAATGTAGAACAAAGGAGCTGGGAACAAGCCTCCAGAGCAGGCCAGCCACCTCTCCAACGCAAACAAGGAAGTGCTCGCAGTCACCAGCCATGTTTGAGGCTCGTCGAAGCCTCTGCCCATCAGTTCCCTGCCCTTCCCTCCCCGAGCCTTGCAACCTGCTCTCCCTGAAAGCAGTCCCATCCCCCCTGGGTTTCCCTTTCACTATGTCCTGCAGGACTTGATGTCCTCTGAGTTGACAGCAGACATCCTTCAAGGGAGGGCTGTCTCATGCCCCTGCTTGTGTGTCCAGGACCCAGCGCTGAGTGTGCCCACAGTGGGGGTATCATGTGTCTGGGGAGGAGGGGCTTCCATTTGGGGAACAGCTGAATTCTGGGACTTAGCCAAGAACTGCTTCTCTTCACCCCAGTCCCTCATAAGGCAGAAGCGACCACTGACAGTGTCTAGGTTCTTATCAGTTACACTAACAGGCATGGTTTCTAAACATTTAAACCCTATCCCATAATATCAAAGGAGAGAAAAACAAGGAGTTAGGCTACCAGACTTCCACAGGTTTGATGGAACTTAAAGGGTTAAGTGGAAAAGATTTTAAGCGACCTCCCCCCGCCCCCAGCGGGAATCACTATGTCCCAGCACCAGCAGCCCTGCTTTCTGCTGCCCCCCAATTCCAGCCATCAGGAGGGAGGCCGGGCCCCACAGATCCTCTGATAGTAAACCCACAGGGCACATGCTGAAATGCTCCCAACTACGGGGAATACTATGAGCTTCAAGTGAGCGTATTTACTTGTCCCCACTGCATTCCCCAAAAGGCCTGAGCAGACCTGTAACGTAGGGGAAGCCCTTTCGTCATGTAACAGCTACCCACAACACTTGGGGAAGGATGAAACCAGCTGAAACAGAATCACAGCCATGTGCCCAGAGGCCCTCCCTGGTGCTCTGTGGGGGCCAGAGTCCATGCGTGTCCCCTGCCTGGGTTTGGAGCCCGGCTCTGCCACTTGCTAGTCTGTGACCTTGGCAAGTTATGTGATATCCCTGTGCCTCAGTTTCTTCATCCCTAACACTGAGATACTAAGAGTATCTGCCTCACTGGGTTGTTGTAGGTGTGAACAGCTTTGACAGAGTAGGCCCTTGAAGGGCACTTGGATGGGTATTTGGCCCTGGAAGGAGCCCCATATCTGTGTTAGCTATTATTAATATATAACTGATATCGGTGTGGTCACCGTAAATATATAAATACACAAATAGTAGCCTGGGAGTTCCACCCGCGGCCCCAGGATTGGTCTGTAAGTCCGTCTGCCCTTGCTCGCCAACGCCGGTGCCACGCACGGCTGGAAGTCCAGGGATTTCCCCCAGTGAGTAGCACTTCCTCCAGCAGACAGCCCCAACCATGAGAAACATCCCTTTCACCACACTCCTCTCTTCCCTCCGGGGTTTCTGCCCCATAATGCTCTCTGCCTAGCCTTTCAGATGTCAGGCTATGGCTTCAGAGCTTTACCCTTTCAAAAGTAGGAGACTGAAAAAACAAAGTGATTTTTGAAAATGAGCAGCGGCGGGGTTTCTCCTTGGTTGTGTGAAACTGAGGCCAAAGCTACTGATGTTGTGCTGCAGGGGGCTGACTCCAGGAAATAGTAATCCATCTCTTCTGCAGAACCCAGAGAACGCAAAAGTCGTTTCTCGGCACTCCATGGGGGAAAGTGACAGGTGCGATCATGCTTTGTCACTGTCGATGCCACTATTTCCAAACGTGGCCTCCGCCCTGAAGCCAAGGATAAAGTTACGGAAAATAGAGAACAATGTGGGAAATGGTATGGAAAGCCCCCTCAAAACACAGAAGATCTACGGACTTGGGGCAGACAGAATCCTAGAATGTTAGTTCTGGGAGGGAACCTAGCAATGCGATGCTCATTTTATGGATGCATAAACTCAGGCCAGAAGGGGTTAAGGACTTACCAAGGACAGCCAGCCAGCGACAGCCAGAGATGAGAATCTACACGTCCAACACAAAGTGCCCTAGCTTTCAAGGTCACTTGGCGGGTCTCTAACGTGACAGAAGGCTCCCAGGCTATGCTAGCACTTTCTCTCACTTTCCTCCTAATTTGCTCTGTGACCTCCGTCAAGGTCATGACTTAATGTCCCAAAGCTTTTGCTCGATCACAAGGAATTGCTGGGAGGAGATGATGTGCGCAAGGATGCTTACAGGGCTTAGCACAGCAGCAGCTATGTGTGTATGTGTGCGTGTGTGCGTGTGTGTGTGCACGTGCGCGCATGTGCATGAGTGCATGGCTGTGTAAGACAGAGAAAAGGGAGAACCTAGGCCAGACCCAAGGACAACCCAGCAAAGCCCTGATACAACGGCCACCGTGATGTAAGCGTGCCCAGGAATGACAGCTACGTACCTACAGTGACATGGACAGGCTCCATGCTCTGCGTCTGTCTGTCTTCACTTTCGGAGGCATCCTGGCCCTCATTCAAGTTGTTTCTCTTAACGTGGGCAACCACAAAGAAACACAGTCCCATGAGTACAATCAAGGGCCCCATGATCTGCAGGGACAGATATCCACAGATCTGGGGCTCCATGTCGGCAGTGTCTGTCTCATTCAGGGGTTCCTGCGCCCAGTCTGGACCACAGCCGGGGACCCAAATGCCCAGAATGCTGATGAGCATGCCACTTGTCAAGAACAGAAACCCGAAGATGAGGCACTGGGCAAACTGGCGGCTCTCTCCACAGATGAAGGCTTGGTCGGGGTCCGCCTGGCTGCCCCGCAGGCGTCCCTCACGGAGCTGAAGTCGTGCCCGCGAGCGGGCCAGGATCACAGCCCCAAGCCCAACCGCGGCACAGGCAGGCCCAGCGACCTTCAGCGCCATGCTGCAGTCTGGGAAGATTTTGTACTGGCATGCCTGGAACCCAAAGATGGAGAGCAGGACTCCCACACACAACAGGATGCCACCAAAGACAAAAAGGAAGAAAATGAACTTGCTGACACGCCTATCTCGCTGGACCCCATCTGGCTCAGCAGCAGCTACAGGAGACATGGCCAGGAGAGGCCCCTTCCCCAGAACCAGGCAGGATGGATTTCCTTCCCTCCAGTGGTTTCAACAGCTCTGAAAATACAGCCAAACACCAAATTAAAGTGGGCACAGGTGTGCCTGACCCGCCCTGGCCATTTCAGAAATCACTCCAGGATGAAATCATAGGGGATAGAACTTGATGCAAGTGATACACTGGTGAACAATGAGTTGGTTTATGAGTCAGAAGCACTGGCATTCAGAAACTCCTGAATATGTAATTTTATGAAGATATTCAAGAAGAGGAAATGCAATTAACATGCACCTAAGAGTATCTTTAAAAAAAAAGAACAACAAACCCCATACAAGAGAAGTAACTGGGTGTGGCTTTTCCTGTTATGAGTCTTACAAACTCCCTTCCCTGGGGCAAAAAAACCAAAACAAAACCACCCCCAAAACAGTGGTGAGTAAGGGAAGAACCACAGGGATTATTTCTGATTTACAGACATCCCACGTTTCATCACAGCTGCTTTGAGCATTTCCGAGTCGATAAATTTATGTTCAGTAACTAACTTTCCATTTCCTATTTCAGACTGCGGCAACTTTCCATTCCCCTTCTTCTAAGGCCATGACACCTGCAGGAGGCCCAATTCAGTCGTTTCCAATGAAGGGGAAGGCAGTTCAGGAACACAGCGAGTTTGGGGGATTTTAAGTTAACTCTGTCAAAATGTGATTCTTGAGTTCTCACACAGGCACTGGAACTCCAGGGCCCGGCTGACTAGGCCGGGGTGACCCAGGGGAGCCTGGCACAGCCGGTCAGGAGGAGCCTTGTCTCCCAGGTGTGCAGGTGGCGTCTCACGTACCCCCCTCCAAGGTGCCTCTCACTTCCACAAAAAGGTTTAGGCTCCGTTAAAAATAAGCAGCTGATAAAATCACCAGTTAAAAAAGCACAAAACAGCAACAGCACCTGACTTTGAACGGAGAGTGTAAGTGAGATCAAGTGGGAAAGCACCTCCCCACAAGATCACCCAAGCCCTGTGCTGGTATCACCATATATTAAGTGGACCCGAATCAATTGTTAATAATTGTCTAGCGTATGCAGATTGACTTTATAATCTTGGTTATCTTGTCTTACTCTCATGAGTGGAGTATTTTACCAGGACCCTTCAAGTTGGGGCAGTGGAAAAGACAACCTAAGTGTGAAGACCATTTTTACTGGCTCAAGGAAAGAAAACTTAAAATATTTTGTGCCATTTGTATCCACGATGACATGAAGGAGCTCAGGATTGAGGCTGTAAAGCCAAGGCCGTCCTGACAAACCCAAGTCATGTCCAAGGAGGGTCAATTTAAGTAAAGAAAACAAATAGCTGGTCTTATACTAGGAAGTACTTTTCCAGGAAAAAGTACAATCGAATCAGAAGGAAGCTGGAGAAAGGAAATCTAGGAGGGAAATAAGCTTCCATTTTAAGCCTGGGCAAACTGTATTTGTGAAGACGGAATATGCTGAGACAAACACTTAAAGAAAATATTGAACTAATTTAAAAAACAGAAATCTGAATCATGTAATCTCTTGTGCTGGTTCCAGAGATAAGGGTGATTCTCTGTTACAAAGTCCTATCAGGAATTCACTGAATTCCTGGTACCTTCAACTCTGAAGCGAGTCACAAGGCTTCAAATGTCTTAAGGCGAATTCCCCAAATACTAGTAAAGTAAAAGTAAGCCTAAAACTGGATGTGTAGCTCTTGTCCACGGACAAGTGGACTAAACACCTGCCATACGTATCAATCCCTCATCCATAATAATGTAGGCAGTCAAGTCTGTCTGTCTCATACACGTATTCACGAACGGACACAAAAACCATCTACACTAACAGAAAATTAAACCCTTTCCAAATACCAACCTACATTTAATCTCCCCAAAGCCAAATCTACCTCTCCACCACTGTTTTCCAAAGGACAATTCCAAATCAGCAGCATCTCACCATGCCCAAGGCTCTGCTGCGTTTGGGGATCGAGGTAAAACCAGCCCCGAGTCTTGTATAGGGAATCTTTCCGTGGGTTTCAGGGAGCCCGAGCGCAACAACAGCCCCCAGGGGCTGGGCTTGCGGCTCCCACCCCCGCAGCTTCGGCTCGGGGTCCTCCGCGCCGGCGCCGCTCCCCGCACCAAGACTTGACCGCGCGGGAGTGCGGAGAAGCGCGGAGCCCGGAGCGCTCACCTGAGGCTTCGTCCTGCGTGCGCGCTGCCTGCGCCAGCACGCGTCCCGGGAGCCTGGCGCCGGCCTCGGGGTGGGCGCTCGGCGGGGCGGCGCTGGCCGTGGGCACCCGGCTGGGCGCGGCCTCCAGTGGCGGCCCGTTCCGCCCGTTTCCACCTGCGCGTCCGGGCGCGGAGGGCGGGCCGCCACTGTATTTACAGAAGGAGGCGGTGCCAGAGAGGGCGCGGCGGCGGGGGCACGGCGGGGCAGGGCGGACTGGCGGGAGCTGGCCGCCACCGGGTGCTGCCCTGCGGGGCCGGAGGCGCGTCCCGCGCGGCGGTGGGTGACGAGGGGCGGCCTCGGAGCCCAAGGCTGGCAGATGTGGCCGCTTCGCCCGTGACCGTGCGCGCGAGGAATCCGGGAAAAATGGGCACCCCCGCCACCTCCCTGGCCCTCAGCCGTGCGAGGTAGGGGGGAGGCGAGTTGAGGTTCTCCTCTTGGCTGCCGGAACTGAGCGCCGCGCGGGCCGAGATCCGGGCAGCGGGAAGGGAACCAGGCGCTCAGGGCGCAGAGTTGAGGCGGGGGAAGCGCCTGGCCTCTTTCCGATGTGGCCGTGGCCCAGGCAGGATCGGGCCCCGCGTTCCTGAGGCTGCGCTTTCGGCCACGACGCGGTCCGGGACCGGTCTCCCTGGCGGCGGGTGGCCCTCCTGCCGCTCCGGAGACCTTGACGGCGGTCACTGGAGCGAGTCCCCCGCTGCCAGCTCCCCGACCGCGAACGCGTTATGGAGACACCAGGTCACTGAAACGTGCGCTCTATTTAGAATGTGAGACGAGGTGCTCCATACCTGAGCCATTCAGGCATGAGGTCCTCGCTCCAAGACTGAAGCAGGCCCTTGGCAGGTCAGCTCTGTCCCTTCCGCCCTCACACCTAACGCTCTTTGCCATAGAACCCCCTCTTCCGCTTCTCAGTTGTTAATGGTCGGCAGCAATTAAAGCGGTAACTTTCCCTGCCCTTGAACCAGGAGTTTCAGGATGGGTTTGCCAATCCCCGTGCTATTTGTAACCTGCCCTGTGACACGTGACACGGACTCAACTATGCCAGTTTCCACCTCAGAGGTCAGGGCGCTGTGGAAGGTGAGTCAAGGGCTCAGCCCAAGCACAGCTGCGCGATGGAGCCCTGGGGACTTACCCATCCTGCCGCTTCGCCCGTCTTCCTGTCTGCCTTGCCTGAAACCCGGTCACGAGTTCGTGCCGATCGCTTTCAGCTTTTTTAAAGTGTGAACACTTTGCCCACCTAATACAGCAAGTGGTTCTGTCTGTAGGTCTCCCTGACGGTAAAGAGTGAGATGGGCTTAGCCAGTTACCAGGGGGGAGAGGGAGACTCTCAAAGAAGGGGTCAGAGGGAGGCAAAGAGGGAAGGGGGGGTTCCCTGGACTCTGAGCGCTGGATGGCTGGGTGGCTGAGACGAGGCTTCACGAGGGAGGCATACCGGACAAGTTCCAGCCTTGCAATTTGCTGGGGGCACTTGCCCCAGTGGCCAGATGTGGCCTTTGTCACAGCCAGAGTGAGAATCTCTGCCCTAACTAAATATTGCTGATTATTCCTATGATGAACAGTACTGACATCCCTGGCTCTGTGCCAGGCTCTGTGTTCCCCATTTTACCTACAGCCTGTGGTTCTTTAATGTGTGTTCCCAGCAACTCAGAGAAGGCTGGAGCCAGAAGAGGATGGGGGCTAAAAACCAGTCAGTTTTCAGTTGAGGAAACCAAGGCCCAAAGGCAAAAGTTGACCTCCCCAGCTGATTAGCGTGGAGCCTGGGCCTGAACCAGATGTACTGGCTCTTCCTCCCAGATACACCTGTCACGCAGAGAACACACAATGCCATGAACACAGAAATGCCTTTTTATTATGTGGCTTTTTTTTATTAAGAGAGAGTGAGGGCGCCTGGGTGGCTCAGTTGGTTAAGCGACTGCCTTCGGCTCAGGTCATGATCCTGGAATCCCGGGATCGAGTCCCACATCGGGCTCCCTGCTCGGCAGGGAGTCTGCTTCTCCCTCTGACCCTCTTCCCTCTCATGCTCTCTATCTCTCATTCTCTCTCTCTCTCAAATAAATAAATAAAATCTTAAAAAAAAGAGAGAGTGAAAGTGCATGAGAGTAAGGGAGGAGTAGAGGGAGGGGAGAGAGAGAGTCTTATGTATGTATGTATGGTGTTTATTTATTTGGAGAGAGAGAGAATCTTAGGCACCACGTAGGGCTCGATCCCATGACCCTGAGATCATGACCTGAGCCAAAACCAAGAGTCGAACCCTTAACTGACTGAGCCACCCAGGCACCCTGATTACGTGGCTTTTTAATCATTATGACAATTTAGACACTGTATCCCAAGGACATTGTGGCCATCTACATCTGGGGTGGAGCTCTCCTGGTCTAAGCGTCAGTATATCCCAGGGTAGAGAGACCTCAAAGGCGGCCCAGCTAACAAGCAGACAAGCAAGAGTGGTGACTGCACAACAGTGGCTGACACCGAGCTTTCTAAGAACACAGGCCCCGAATACAGAATGTGTTCTCCCTACACAGGCCTTTCGTGTACAAGAGGGTTTCCGTCTCCACTGGGCCCTCATGCTTTCCTTCTCCTGTGTGTGCAACTCGATCTCTGGCCGCGTCGTGTGAGGACCTGCAAGGGGCCTGTTGATACAGCTGCCCTCCGGTGCCACATGACTGCAGGCTGGCCACACATGACGGCCGTGAATGTACAGACACCAAGGACCATCAGATTAGCCTCTGCTCGGGATATCGGCTGCTTGGACTGTTTGCCTTGTGGAGCCTGTTTGACTAAATTAAAATCCTTGGAAACCGATCGTCAGTCAAGCATGAAAGACAAAGCCACCAGCCTGCAAGGTGCCCATCTTGGGGGCAGACCTATTTTGAGGAGAGAGGCTGGGTGACCTCCTTCCTCTCTAAAACAAACTGGCCTTTTCCAGCCTGTGTGGTCATGAAAAAAGAGAAGACCGGACAGAATCCTTAGAAAAACAGCATGAGAACAAGTTTTTTAAAAATGGATGAATCTTAGGACGCCTGGGTGGCTCAGTCAGTTAAGCATCTGCCTCCGGCTCAGGTCACCTGGAATCCAGCCCCGCGTTGTGTCAGGCTCCTTGCTCAGCGGGGAGCCTGCTTCTCCCTCTCCCTCTGCTCCCCCTGCTCTGTGCGCACTCTCGCTCGCTCTCTGACAAATAAATAAACAAAATAAAAAAAAAAGGATGAATCTTGAATTCAGGAAGTGAATACAGAGGGTGAAGCTGTGGCACGCGTTCATTTATTCATTCAGCAAGTATTTACTGAGTGCTGACTGCAGGCCAATAAACAGACACAATACTTCCCCATCGTGGAAGCTATATTCTAAGGAAAAGGAGGACGATGAAAGAAACAGGGAAATGATACAGGGTGTTAGAAGGTGGTAGGTAGGTGCTGCGGAGAGTAAGAAATCACAGAAGGCGGCTGGGGAAATCCTGCTTCCAAGAGGGTGGTTAAGGAAGTCGTCTCTGAGAAGGTGACACTGCAGCGAAGGAAATGAGGAAGCAAGCATACTGATTATCTATGATTGCATAACAAATGACCCCCAAACTTAGAAGCTTAAAGCAACAAAGATTTCTTACCTCTCACAGTTTCTGAGCGTCAGGAATTTCAGAGCAGCTTAGCCAGGTGCTTCTGGCTCGGGATCTCTCCTGAGGCTGGAGTCCAGCTGATGGCTGGGGTCACATCCCCTGCAGGCCTGCCTGGGGCTGGAGGGTCTGCCTCCACGGTGGCTGCCTCCTGCGGCTCTGGACAGGAGGCCTCGCTTTCCTACCATTGTAGACCTCTGCACAGAGCCACCTGATTGTCCTCATCACATGGAAGCTGACTTCCCCTGGAGTGAGTGATCCAAGAGAGAGCAAATGAGGGGGAAGGTGCAGTGCCTTTTATGATGTAGTCCCTGAAGGTGCACACCATCACTGTGCTTTATTCTGTTCCTTAGAGTTGCGTCACTAAGTCAAGGGGAGGGAAATTAGGCTCCACCTCTCGAAGGGGGAGACTATCAAAGAACCTGTGAGCATATTGTAAAACCATCACAGAGAGCTATAGTGATATTTTGGCGAAGAAGGGAAGGGCCCTTCAGACAAAGGAAATAGCAAGTGCAAAGGCCCTGAGGTGGAAGCAGGGATGGCATATTCAAGGAAGAACAAGAGGCCAGGATGACTGGGTGAGCAAGGGGATGAAGAATAAGAGAGGAGGTCAGAGAGGAAAGGTAGGTGTGTGTGTGTGTGTGTGTGTGTGTGTGTGTGTGTGTGTGTGTCCACATGTACCAGATTGTGTAGAGCTTTGTGAGCCATTGTAAGTACTCTGAGTGAGAGGAGGAGACTTTGGAGGGTTTTTTTAACTGAGTGTGCCGTGGTCTGATTTACTCTTTTTAAGGCAGCAGTAGCTTCCAGGTGAGAATAGTCTGAGGAGAGGGAAGGGTGGAAGCGAGACATTTAGGAGGCTATTATAGTAACCCAGGAGAGAAATGGCTGTGGTTTTTGTTTGGGGGTGAGAAAGCAGTGGGACTCTGTATATATCTCAAAGAGAGAGTCGTCGGACGGGATGTGGGTTTTGACTTGAAGATTTTTAGCCTGAGGAACTGGAAGGATGGTTCTGGCATTGCTTAGGATGGGGAAGAAGGAAGGCAGGACAAGTTTGAGAGGGAAGCTTTGGGGCATATTTGAGATGTCCATTTCTCCATCCGAGTGGAGAAGGTGAGTAGGCAAAGGCACATCCGGGGCCTGGAGCTAGGGAATTCTAGGAGGACTATGTTCCTGTGCTCCATAAGGTCTGGTCATTACAGAATCAAGAAGGCCGGGGCCCTATTCGGGAAGAGTTTACACACGCGTGTGTGGCTACACGCGCCTTGCAGCCCTCGGTGCTACGGAGGGCTTCAAGCAGACACAAAGCAGTGAGCAGTCTGGTGCTCTCTGGAGCAGGGATTTCTGACGTTTCCAGCGGGCAGGGGGGCAGCGGGGGGCCAGCGTGGCTGGGAGGGATGACTTTCTGCTGGTGCAGGGGCTTCTGCTGTTCTGTGCCCACAGCAGTGCCCTAAGGAGCATGGATCCTCTGCTCCCACCGGACAGGCCACGTGACACTCCCCAGAGTGCTGCCAAGCTGAGAAGTGGCTGTGGGCCAGAGGTGTGGACGGGCTGGTAGAACTGAGTATCACAGTCTCAGGATTCACAAGACTGCAGGAAGACAATTAAGCAACCAAGTGAGCCACCTTCTCGTTTCTCTTTCCTTTTTTGGTCGACTCTCTCTTGTTCTGCCCCAGATTAACCTCAGTGCCCAGAAGCATGCATTCCTCTTTCCAGTTCCTGACATTTCCTGAGACTCTGCTGAGGCTGGGGTACAGGAATTTACTCTTGAGTGCTCGGTCGTGGGCCAAACTGCAGCTGGTGTTCCCAGCTCTGAACCTAGGGGGGTGCCATCCAGCTGCCTGCCCCTGCGAAGGCGGCTGTGGTCAGGGGAGGCCGAGGTTTCTGGAGCGTTCTCCTCTTCCCCGCCCATATTGGACTTAGACCAGGCCTGAGAGATAGGATGGGTGGGATTGACTGACTCAGCAGGCTTGAGTGGAGGGTTTACATTTGGCACCTTAGCTGACCCCCAGTTTAAGACTGGTGTTTCGCAGGTCATTTTATTGCCTGGAACTGTCCTGTTGATTTCGCACGGGTGATAACAGCTCGGCTTGAGCGCGGTGAGCGGAGCCAGGGCTACGGAATGTGGGGAGTTGTTTCAGACAGAACGAATGAGCATTTGCCGTGGTCTTGGCAGAGGCCTCTACATTGCCAGAGAGAGCGAGGGCACTTCGACGGTGGCGGCAGCTGGCTGGAGGAGAGACCAGCGCAGAGACAGCAAGAGTTTTCTGGAAATGTCACAGTCTCCTGGTGGCTTGCATTGTCTCCATCAGTGCACTGACTGGGTTGCAAAGAACAAAATATTTCTCCCCAGTGTGTAAAAAGGGCATAAATGGACCTCGGTTTAGATCCTCACTTTGCCACCTAGTAGCCGTGTGACCTTGGGCAGGTAAACAAATTTTCTGTGCCTCAGTATCGTCATCTGTAAAATGGGAATAAGCAGACCTACCTCAAAGGATGTCTTGAAGAATCAATTTCTAGCACAGATGGGCCACCAATCAATGTATTTGCAGCTAGTTACCTCATCTTCCATCTGTGGCTCCTCCCTGGCCCACAGTCTTCAGCAAGGCTGATCTGACCCATCCATGGAGAAGGTAAAGGGATGCATGAAGAGGGAGAGCAGGATGCTCCGCGAGAGCAAAATGAGTCATGTTGACTTCTCTTGCTGACTTGGAAAGGTCTGAGCCACTGCCAGCTCAACTCAGCACATTTCCCGGTTATTGCTACGAGTCCTCAAAGGTGTGTATCCCCTCATCTCAAAAACCAGCTGTCCAGGGCGCCTGGGTGGCTCAGTTGGTTAAGCGACTGCCTTCGGCTCAGGTCATGATCCTGGAGTCCCGGGATCGAGTCCCACATCGGGCTCCCTGCTCAGCGGGGAGTCTGCTTCTCCCTCTGACCCTCTTCTCTCTTGTGCTCTCTCTCTCTCATTCTCTCTCTCTCAAATAAACAAATAAAATCTTAAAAAACAAAAACAAAAACAGCTGTCCAGATGATCACCCGGTGTTGTCTGCCTCTGTTCCACCACCGCGCCCAGCCACCAAAGCTTCTGGAAAGGGCCCTGTCACTGTGGGTCCCTGGAGGGATATGTGGGGACCCTGCAGGCTGCTCCTCGGGGTCCAGGGATCCACCCGCTAGCCTCTCCTGGATCCACCTGCACATTGCAGCCCCATCACTACACCCTTGGTTCTGACCCTCCACTTCCTGCTTGCCGCTGATGACTCCAAAAAGGAGTCAATTCAGATTACAGTGCTCCCAAAGTAGAGCCAGGTGAAGTAAACCTGAAAATAAATGAGAAAAGGAAAGAAAAAAAGAAAAGGTTGGCTGTCCTTCCTGCCTCATTCCAACAACTTGTCAGTAATGTACGAGGAACAGGGTGGAATCCCTTTGCCATTATCCATACAGGATCTTGGCTGTTTTAGGATCCGACGTGGACCCTTGTCTGAGACACTTGGAGATGGCTCTCAGAATAGCCCAACGCAGACCCCCAGGAGGGGCCATCTGACTGCTGAGGTGCTGTCTGTGGGGACCCACACCAGCGAGCGGGCAGAGTGCAGCCTTCCAAGGTGGTCCCCTCACGAACACACACTCGAACCCTCGGCTTCTCCCATAGCAACTGCTGGCCTAAAAACTGAAGCAGTAAGAATCTGAACACCTGAGAGCTGGCCATCTGATAATTTAAAAGGCAGTTTGGCAGGAAGCCACCTCCTAAATGCCCCAGATTTTAACAAAAGGCCCCTTGTCGCAGCTACAGAATGCAGGTAAAGCCAGGGCTGGAGGTGGTGTTGATTCAAAAAGAAGGAAAAGAAAACTGCTCTGTGGGGTTTTTTCTTGTGAACCTATCTCACAGAGTTATTGAAAGCATTAAATGAATCCAGAGAGAAAGACCTACTGTAATTTGTGCTTGGATGCCATTCCGGAAGAAATAATTTCTCCTCAATAATAATAATTGCTAACTCCTACATAAAGCATGCTCTGTGTTTATAGTGACGCACACCTCTTACTTGCACTGCATAACAAGCCAGTGGCATAAGTATTGTTGTTCCCCATTTTACACATGCAAAGAGGGAGTGAGCAGCTCCGACCTTATCTTGCCAGGAAGCACGGGGCTTGTCCCCTCTCCTAAGGGAGCCCAGAGCTCTGCCCACAGCATCCTTTTTCAGTGCCGATGGGAGGCAGCCGTGGCTCTTTTTCCATGTCAGTTCACTCGTGGGCAAGCTAACAAACTCCTCTTCATTTTTTAATTCTCCAATTAAAAGTCATTTCCCCGGAGAGCCCCCAGATCTGAATCAGCCCCCACTCCGCACACCGCCTGGTGATTTTCAGAGTTCTTGGTATTTTTCATTCAGGGCACTTGCCAGA